TTTATCTTAAAAAAAAAAAGAAAAAAAACCCAAAACCAACCAAAGAAACAAATAAAAAAGCCACAACGAAGCAAGTATGGTACATGATTTAAAAACAATAAAGCCTTCCCTTTGGGATTAGGATGAAGGGAGGGTACCCACTACCATCACTAACTATTCAACAAAATATTGCAGGTCCTACCCAGTATAGTCCAGAATTAACAATGAAAGAAAGAAAAATAAAGTCTGTCTCCAGTCCTGATGGAGGAACTGAGAACACATTTACCTTCTCACCTTAAGTAACTAGAAACCTGAACAAAATAAATGAAATAAAAAGGTTTTAAAACACTGGGAAGGTATAAAACTGTGACCACTGAGAAGAGAAATAAATGAGGGGAACCCTACCATGCCCCAGCTTTCTGACTGGAGACATGTGTCCTGGGCACAGCATAAAGTGAGCACAGAGTCCGGCCATTCACTGAGTTGAGGAAACTCAGACAGGAGTTCAAGGAGGCGAAGGCAACATCTGTGGGTCGGAACAGAAGAGAGCTGCACAGGCAGGAAGCACTGCACATCTGGAGAGAGCTGCCAAATCCCTTGCTAAGCACTGATATATACATGCAGGACAGCAAAACACCCATGACCATGGCCATTTCCTATATTAGAGCCATGCTAGTGGTTACAACATGCTATATGCTTCTCAAAATTCATTTTGAATGTACATTTAAAATCAGTAAAGTCAGGCCAGGAGCAGTGGCTCATGCCTGTAACCCCAGCACGTTGGGAGGCCGAGGTGTGTGGATCACTTGAGGTCAGGAGTTTGAGATCACCCTGACCAACATGGTGAAGCCCCGTCTCTATCAAAAATATAAAAATTAGCAGGGTGTCATGGTGGGCACCTATAATCCCAGCTGTTCGAGAGACTGGGGCATGAGAATCACCTAAACCCAGGAGGTGAAGGTTGCATTGAGTCAAGATTGTGTAACTGCACTCCAGCCTGGGCAATAGAGTGAGACCCTATCTCGCAGTAAAGTTTATTCTATGTAAACTATACATTAATAAAGCTTATTTAAAAAGAACTGAAGAAATGGGACTGAACACAAGGGAATGGCTAATGTGCATTCCAACTGATCTGTACTATTTGGTATTTTCACAGAAATGTATTTGTGTATTATTTGGGTAATTAATAGAACACAAACAATACAACAAATAAGTGAATGAGAAAAAAACAAGTTATAAAATGAGCAAAAGCTGAAAGTATTCCCCTGGAGAACTGAAACAAGATAAAAATGCCCATACTCACCACTCCTATTTCACACAGCACTTGAAGTCCTGGCCAGATAAATCAGGCAATAGACAGAAATAAAAGGCATCCAAATAGGAAAAGAAAAAGTCCAATTATCTCTTTGCAGACAATATAATTTCATACCTAGAAAACTCTAAAAGACTCCGCCAAATGCCTCCTGAACTGATAAACAACTTCAGTGAAAGTTTCAAGATACAAAATCAATGTACAAAAATCAGTAGCATTTCTGTACATCAATAATGGTCAAGCTGAGAGCCAAATCAAGAATACAATGCCATGTACAACAGACACACTCTCTCTCTCTCTCTCTCTCTCTCTCTCTCTCTCTCACTCATACAAAAATCTAGGAACACATCTAGCCAAGAAGGTGAAAGATATCTGCAAGGAGAACTACAAAACAGTGCTGAAAGAAATCACAGATGACACCAACAAACTGAAAAACATTCCATGCTCATGGAATCAATATAGTTGGAAGAATCAATATAGTTAAAATGGCCATACTGCCCAAAGCAATCTACAGACAACGCTATTGCTGTTTTTTGTTTTGTTTTTGAGACAGGTATTACTCTGTCACCCAGGCTGGAAGGGCAGTGGCATGATCACAGCTCACGGCAGCTTCAACTTCCCAGGCTCAAGTGATAGTCCCGCTTCAGCCTCCCAAGTAGCTCGCAGTATAGGTGAGCATCAACATGTCTGGCTAATTTTTTACATTTTTTTTTGTAAAGATGGGGTCCCACTATGTTGCTCAGGCTAGTCCCACACTCCTGAGCAAGCAATCCTCCTACCTTGACCTTCCAAAGTACTAGGATTACAGGTGTAAACCACCACAACTGACCTCAATGCTATTTCTATCAAACTACCAATGTCATTTTTCACTGAATTAGAAAAACCTATTCTAAAATTCATATCGACACAAAAAAGAGCCTGAATAGCCAAAGCAATCCTAAGCAAAAGAACAAGGTCTGAGGAATCACATTACCCTAACTTCAAACTATACTACAGGGCTACCATAACCAAAACAGCATGGTTCTGGTATAAAAACAGGCACGCAAGCCAGTGGAATAGAACAGAGAACCCAGAAATAAAGCTGCACACCTCTAGCCATCTGATCTTCAACAAAGCTGACAAAAGTAAGCAATGGGGAAAGGACTCCTTATTCAATAAATGGTGCTAGGATAACTGGCTAGCCATATGCAGAAGAATAAAACTGGACCACTGCCTTTTACCATAAACAAAAATTAAGATAGATTAAAGACTTAAATGTAAGACGTCAAACAATAAGAATCCTGGGAAGAAAACCGAGAAAACATCATGCTGGACATTGACCTTGGAATAGAATTTATGATTAAGTCCTCAAAGGCAATCACAACAACAACAAAAAATGTCGAGCTGGACCTAATTAAACTAAAGAGCTTCTACGTAGCAAAACAAGCCATCAACAGAGTAAACAGACAACCTACAGAATGGGAGGAAATTTTTACAAAAGGTCTAGTATCTAGAATCTGTAAGAAACTAACAATTAAACAAGGAAAAAACAAATAACCCCATTAAAAAGTGACCAAAAGACATGGACATACAAGCAGCCAACAAAATGAAAAAATGTTCAACATAATTAATCACTAGGGAAATGCAAATCAAAACCACAATGAGATACCATTTTATAACAGTCAGAATGGCTATTACTAAAAAGTCGAAAAACAACAGACACTGGTGAGGCTGTAGAGAAAAGGAAACGCTTGTACCCCGTTGGTGGGAATGCAAATTAATTCAGCCACTGTGGAAAGCAGTTTGAAGATTTCTCAAAGAACTTAAAATAGAACTACCATTCAACCCAGCTATTCCAATTTGGTATATATCCAAAAGAAAACACATTGTTCTACCAAAAAGACACATGTACTCATATGTTCATCATAGCACTATTCACAATACCAAAGACATGGAATCAACCTAGCTGCCCATCATCATGGACTAGATAAAGAAAATGTGGTACATACATACCATGGAATACTACACAGCCATAAAAAAGAACAAAATCAGCTGGGCGCGGTGGCTCATGCCTGTAATCCCAGCACTTCAGAAGGTTGAGGCAAGCAGATCACGAGGTCAGGAGTTCAAGAGCAGCCTGGCCTGCCGGGCACAGTAGCGCGTGCCTGTAGTCCCAGCTACTTGGAAGGCTGAGGCTGGAGGATTGCTTGAGTCCAGGAGTTCTGGGCTGTAGTGCACTATGCCAATCAGGTGTCCGCACTAAGTCCGGCATCAATATGGTAACCTCCCGGGAGCAGGAGGCCATCAGGTTGCCTAAGGAGGGGTGAACCAGCCCAGGTCGGAAATGGAACAGGTCAAAACTCCCGTGCTGATCAGTAGTGGGATTGCGCCTGTGAATAGCCACTGCACTTCAGCGTGGGCAACATAGCGAGACCCCGTCTTTTTAGAAAAAAGTAAATATTAAAATTAAAAAAAA